TTTTCGATAAATGAAAACATGCTCCATATATTGTGAAGATGGAAGTTCTGTCAATTGAGTGAAAAATATTTCATTAGGCTTCATGAAATAGCGGATATTTCTCAGAACCTCATAAACATCTTCATGAAAAGATGTCAGTAAAATGCAAATATTTTTGTTTTTTTCAACCCTGTGTGGTTGCTGATCCAATCTCTCGTAAAATGAGTCCCAATCTTCCAGGCATCGAATACTTCTGTAGTACAAAGTTCCTCAGTGTTAACTAATGTGAATTCCGTATTACTGTTAGTCATAAGGCACAGCTGTTACTAAACGATATTTTGATCAATCAATACTGTGTCACTGATTTTCTGTTCTCCTTGTCACAATCTTATATTATATGGAATGAAGTTGTCAAAGTATGAAATAGCCAAATTCACTTATACCACGTGCCCTTCAAATATCATCGAATATTTTTCTCACATGCCAAGATGTGATAATTTTAGTGTTTCAACTAATATCAATGCTGAAATATTGCCAATTATCTGGTATTATACTGGTTATTTGATAGTGCAAATCACAGCCATAGCTTGTTCACGTTTGGATCTTTGTTTTGATGAGTACCAATACTGTGTGTTGATAGGCTGTTTCGTTCGACGAACAAGTTTGTTTGGAAGGAAATGCCACAAAACCAAAGTGTGTGACTAAAAAGAGTAACAAAAAAAAATAATCACGTCAAATAACACTTGTCGACTTTGTCCACTCGTGAGATTCCTACAGCAACAACGATTTGTTCATCCAGTTGAAATTATCAGAAAATCACCAGCACTTGAGTAATGACTGTTGATTATTGATTGCTCATGTAATCGTTATAGAATTGGTAGGTATTTCCACACAAGAAAGAAGGATTCTGTTGATAGTCCATCACATCATCTTCTGAAATTCTCACTTTCCATAATGTCGGAGATGAAATCTCCACAGATAATGAAGCATACATTGGAATAATAAAGATGGCTCAAAAAAACTATCGAGTTATGTGCAAATAATCCCCCATGTCCATATCATAATCGATGGAAACTAGGCAGGATTTTCAAATTTTCTTTGTAAACTCACAGCAAATAATCCAGTGTTTCTAGATACTGAAACTGATCAGATCATTATTAGACACTTTCATGCTTATATTTGCTGTTTTGGCGAATATAAGCAACAGCTTATGTTCAACTAACGGAGCTATCAACCAATTAATCTATACAATAAAAAGCTACTTGTTGAAATATTCAACAGAAAAAAACAACTTTCCTTGCTTATACCACAGTATGTTCAGTTATATCTATAATATATCGAAAAATATTTTTCTTCATTTTGAGGGAATAAATGAATTTCATGAAATGATTCGAAATTATTGATATGGTCAACATAATCTCTCAAGCTGCATCTCTTGTCAGTAGGATCAGGAAAAAGCGCAAAAAATAAATTCGTAGAATGTTCAATAAACATCGTGCTTGACTAAGGAGGAGAGGGAAAGGATATCGGTGCTGGATTTTTTCTTGACCATTAGATCTTATAAGTTCTTGAAAATACTCTCATTGGTAGACAATTCCAAAGCTTTGTCGTTGGACGATATCTGAGAGAGTGTTTTCGATATATTTCGAGGTTGACGACGAAAAGATGTGCTGAATGGATCTGTGGAGTTAGTCGAATTCGTATTGCTAGTGATGGAATTATAGCAGAGACTTCTGAGAAACATGTTTTGTGGAAGTATCTATAGGAAACTGAAATGTCACCGACTCTTCACGGTGGTAGTGGGTGTGGCAAATGGCGCTTTTCTGGATGGAATCTAAGTGCGTCAGCGTATGTTCGGGTGCTGAACCCCATATGTGGAACAGTATTATGAACTGGCTGTATTTTTTTTTCTAGATAATGAGAAGCTGTTGAGGTGAGGAGTATAATTTCGCACGGAATAACAAATCCGTTTTTCTGTGAACCAGCTTTCGCGATGTATTGGACATGATTTTTGCATGGAAGACAATTGCTGATAGAGAAATCGAGCATAAAAGATAGTCTTCTTGGTGGAAATTGTGCTACCAGACTCCGTTAGATCAGGCATTCTGAGTTTCGCCTTTCTAGAGAAAATACAGGCTTGGGCTTTGGTGGCCTTGAATTCAACTAGGTTGTTGGTTTCCCAGACAGTTATTGCAGTAAGATCGTCAATGACAGCGTTGCCCTGCCTTCATCGTGAGTTCTTGGTTACCTGGGAAGAAATGGAAATTCCTAATAAGAACACAGTATGGAGAGTACTATCATCAGCCAAGTTGTTGATAAGGTCAATGGTAGGTCTCAACATGTCATTGTTATGAAGTCGAAATTGATTGCGATGAAATTAGAGAATACTCCGTTCACTACCACATTGAGCTATCTGCCTGATTGAAAATTCAGCAGAAGATGACATAGCTGAGGTGGTTAGCCGTTTTATTGTGATTTGTGGAGTAGCATCTGGTGCTAAATACTGCCTTTGAATCATTCAACGCCACAGCTAGAGTTTTCTTATGTTTTTCTGAAGAAGCTCGCCATATATGAGTGACGTAGGCAAGTATATCTCCATTTGATCCTTGGTTGCGAAAGCCATATTTTTTATCATCAATGATTTCTAAGCTCTCCAGATAGTTGATGACCCCAATGTTGATCCATCACTCTGGGGACTCATAACAGGCCAGTTGGTTGAACTTGAGAAATTTTTGAGCAAGATGATAAAACACCCGACTTTTACGAGATGGGTTAGAATATCTTGCAGCGAATCGAAGTCAATTCTGATGCATACTTTTTGGAAATAATGGGTAGATTTGCATCAGAACCGTTGACCTTTTCCAATTTATGCCAAGTGAACTTGAATTAAAATATGCGAAAAGCATCCCAGTCTCTTGAGTTACAATGCTATAAAAGACGTGGGGAAGCTGGTGCAGTTGATGAAATGAAAGATGGCAGGAGGACCAGGGGAGTGTTTGATGAGTTAGATCGTTATTGACATCAACAAATTGTGTTGGTTTCTTGATGAGTTGATCTATGCTATGGGTAATTGCAGAAGCTCTGGCTTGTCGCCGAGATCCATCCGTTGAGTTGGAGTCTTCGAGCCAAGCAGTGTTGTATACACCGAAATCGGGCATGATGATGATCTCTGCTGCTGAATGGTTCTGCTTGTTGAGGCCAAGCGTCAGGGACAAGAAATTGAAATGCCCTCCGAAGAATGGATCATTTGGTGTTCAGTAGGGATAACGAAGATATTTGGTATTTCTGACTATCGAGTTTGAACCACATAACATCAATTCAATTTGGTTTCAACGTTTCTCCTTGATGACATGGATTTTTCTCAGAATAGAAGCAGATATCCTCTTTAATCATGAACGTGTATGGGGTTCGTTCTCGAACCGAAAATAAAGTTCGTATTGGTGGATGAATTGACCTGTTCAATGTTTATATCTGTTTCTTCAATTTAAAGGTGTCGCTGGACTTTGTTGATGTAGTCACTCAGACCACGGATATTTTATAGGTCTATCTCGAGGACGTTTTTAGTCGATGTTGAATCCCCTCAAGCACCTCTCGCTCAAAACCTGGATGAAGAGGTAAGTATTTTACTTCCGGATAGTTTTATTGAAGGAGAGTTCATATTTGCTCCCCTTGTATTTATTGATGAGAAAGAAATTGTTTGACATGCCTATAATTGGTTATTTCATTCTCCAATACATAACAGATTATGATATTATGGAAAATCATATGATGAAAGTAAAAATTATATCAATTGTCTGTTAGATAGTTGGACAATTATTTTTTAATTACCCAAGAAAATCATTCTCAACTAACGAGTTATTTGGTCGATGATTAACAGTTATCAACTTCAGATCTCATATAGAAGATTCACAATAAATCGCTTATATTGATGAAATATCACGGTTCTTGATCAGATTTTTATTCGAACAGATTCATCAGTTGAATGCTACAAGAACATAAGGATATTTTGGATTGAGGTTGATATAATTATATACGTTGAATTCCATTATAGTTGGCTTTTTGATGAGATGTCAAGCCATGATGCGTGACCAGCTGTTGAATGTGTTAGTAAATTTTCACATTTGCAACTAATTAGGCGCTTCAATTAGACGACTTTCAATCCTCACTTACTCATTGTCGATATGAATCTACTCTCTTCTGTGTAGGAAATATTCAAATTGTCAATTAAACTCATGACGGTTCCCATGGAATCGACTTCACTTCCACAGATCATGAACATTGACAATTGGTATGTCAGGATTGAAATTTGTCAAATTGAAGCGTCGAATTTGTTGCGATGATGATATTTCACGAACACATTGAACAGTGGGCTACATATCATGGCTGAGCATCAAATCGAAAAACTTATTATGTAATTCAGCAAATGTATGAACTATGTATAACCTGAATTATGTAGAAGCATTTGTCCACATTTGGTATGTTTTCGTATCATCCTAGGGATATTTCTGTTCGGAGATCTGATCGATGAAGATGAAACAGAAACTGATAGAATCGAATATATTTCCTCCTATCATCACATCGAGCCAGCTCAATGAATAATTGACCCAGTGTTACTTCTCTCGAGCGGGGTCCAGGTGGATCTAGTAGGGCAATACCGAAGATCATTCCACCATACTTATTCTGTCAATCCACTGATTCAGGTAGTGGATATGTATTGGAGAATCTGATCAAATTGAATAATATGCTGTATCACTTCATCATGTTGAGAATGCATAAAATTTTTACTCGAACCAGCTCTCAGTAGCATCTATTCAATTCTACATTTTTCGATATAACCGGCTCATAATTGCACTTCAGCAAATATATTTCAATTTTCAAACGATATGAGAAAGATTTAGATACTGACTATAATCATACATGCTACACTTGGAGAAACATAATACAGATTCTTTTCCGTGAATGGATTGACATTGACAGTATTTCTACTGTACTTGTGAAAATATTGAATCGCATCATTTCAGGTCTTATTAGTGGGATTATCCAACAAAGTGGAACAGCTCTCAGTTCTGCTGGAATGGATGCACGACCGAGGGATACAGCATTTGCTTTGGGAAAACTCCTCAACATTTCTGTTGATGCAGGAGATACCAGTAGTCTCATCGATGCATTGCGAAAAACTCCAATAGATGCACTTGTAGCAGCTGCAGTTCAGGTGAGATATCCACTTCTTCAAAATCACTCAATATTGAGATAAAATGAAGAGAAATGCATGTTATTGTTGGCAGATATGGAACATGACATGTCGCGAGATATGCTTCAGAATTGAAGATATATACAGTGTGATCCATTTAAGGATCCTGAAATTTGCTGGAGCGAGAGATATACCAAAAATGCACTTTATGAACAAGTCGGGTCATCTTCAGTGATATACACTGCTCGCAAACAGCCATGAAATTACCCCAATTTCCGGAAAATGATATTGGGAGTCAAAATAGGTCGAAAATCACTTCAGATTTGGAATCAGGACGCCCAAATTACTAACTATTCGAATTTTTCCTGGAAAATTTTTAGTTCGGAAAAATGAAATTTTGACTTTATCTTTGGCCTTTCTTTCCCTCCGACAGAATTTCAGAACCTTTCCTCAATAATTACGTGAGATACGGGGGTGTTTCCATAAAAAATGCGACAAAATTTCATTTTTCCGAACTGAAAATTTTTTGTTGGCGAGCAGTGTATATCACTGAAGATGACCAGTCTTGGTCATAGAGTGCATTTTTGGTATATCTCTCGCTCCAGCAAATTTCAGGATCCCTACCCAACGATTACGTAAGATACAGAGGTGGTTCCATTTTAAATGGGTCACACTGTATATATAAATAAAATACTAGTGATTTAGAAACAAACACTGTGGTTCAATTCTTCATAGGGTTGCAGTCAAAATTTTAGGCATCAAATAAGTGAACTCTTCGTTATTTAGCCGAGCTTTCGGAAATGTTTATTTCCTTTTTCAAGACATCTATAAGAAAAATGGTATGCATAAAAAACAACATCAAACTCATATGAAACTAAGTACTTAATTAACATGAGATTGTTTCAAAGTTGGAACAATTAGAGAACAGACGATTCATTTGCTGAATTTGTTACACAAACTGGTAGACATTAGGATTTGTAAAACGTAGAAAACAATTTGAAAAACAGTAAACCACCGGTGCTTTTTCATAGTCGACTTCGATATCTCAACAAGATGGAAGCTAACAAACGGCCACAGATGATACAAATAATACGGAAAGAGCCGAATCGATTTCGATATCGATTACGAAAAGGTAAGGATGGTGGGAAATTTGAATTGATAATTGGGCATATTATACAATTACACTGCGCCGGCAGCTTTTCATCGGCGGCATATGGGCGTGGATTTTTGAATTTGCTATCCTAATAGATGACAAAGTGAAATTTACAGAAAAGTTCCAGAATTATCAATTCAATATCGAAAATTGTCAAATGTATATTTTAATGGACGCCACTGGTTCTTTCAGATAGTTGTTCATCTAGGAAGAAACAGAAACCTGTAATATATGGATTGAGAGAGAGATGTCAGTAGAAAGTAAAAAAATCGGTGGAGCAGGTATATATACAATTCAATGAAAAATCAGTCATGAGATTATTTACAAATAGTAGGTACAAAGAGGTAGATATTATTTATATGATGCTCATATGTTTCAAGTTGATATAGGTACCCTATTAATATGATGAAATTACTTCATTGACAGTCTAGTTCAAGTTCTGAAAAGAAACCCACTTTGAATATTATATTAGTTATTATTGAATATTTGTAAACTTCAAGGAAATGTCCTAAAAATTCATGAATTTTATGGGGATATATTATACTGTTAAATTGCCGGTTGTGAGCTAGTATTTAGGATATTGGAAATTTCAAATAGGGCTTGAACATTTCAATTGCACTTTTGAAATCTGAGTTGTAGTTATGAGTATATCTTTGTACCTTGATTATTCTGACTTTAATGAAACTTATATCTGAAAAAACCTGATATTATCCAATGATGACGTCATGGTTTTGTTCATCATCAGGTAGAAAGCTGAAGTGGATAGTAGACTCTGGTAAAAACTTGTAGACTAGTAGACTAGGAGACTGCAAAACTGCCAGACTATGATACTGAACATCTTTGGAGCTAGTAGACAGCAAACCTTTAAAATTGGAGACTGCAAAACGTTGAAAATTGGAGACAGCAAAACGGTGAAGTTGGAGACTGCTTGAAAGGTGTGGTGATCTGTGGTCAGCCTACCACATGAGGAATTCGGATGGCCCTTGCTCAGCCATATCAGACGATTCAACCCAGGACATGGTAAAGAATATGCCCATACGTAAAACCCTAAAATTGATTAGGTAGGTATCAGAACCTGATCTCAAAAAAAAAGAGATTTAACTCTCGTCGTGAATAAAATGAAATAACTCACCTCTGGGGTATAGAGGGTTTTACCAAATCACAAATAGAGATGGATGCATGACTTTCAGGAGTTCCAGGATGACCGGTGGAGCAGCAAGGGTGTCCATTAAAAAAAAAGTACTCCTTCGAGCACGTGTCTCGAAAAATTCTCCAATAGAGACCTCTATCCTGAATACGATTAAAAATTGTACAACGACGATATTAAAAAGATAGTTTGAAATCTTACCATCACGCCGAAACATAATTTTTCCTAGATAAGGCTAGGTGCCTATGCAAAATTTCAGGATCTCCCAGGAGCCTGACGAGCCAACACGTGAAACAGCCAGCAGCAAAATGGCCCAAAGATGACCTCTCCGGAAAAGAGAACTTGACCCTGACATTGAACTTGACCCAGACATTGAACTTGTCAAAAATCATCAATATCACGGAACATCAAAAGTTCGAATTGAAACCAAAGATCGAAACTATCGACGAATGAAATGTCTCGTAGCAGTATTTCTAATTGCACCTGTACACTGAGGCTGTTGGTGATGTGACCTTGAACCATACGACTATGCTCCGCCTCGAGCTAGATACTCACGAACATAACAATAGACCCAAAAGGTCTCGTATGCTGATTGGAAATTGATGTCATAGCGAACGAAGAATAAGAATGTATCGAAGCAAGAAAAGAGTGACAGTGGCTAATAACGAAGAATTGGTAAACCATAACCAAGACGTAAACATTGGATGATTTTATTTCAAAACAAAACGAAAATAATTGGATCACTTAAAAATACCCAGGCCCATTCGATTCTACAATATGTACAATTTATTTACAATAGAGGTAGGTGCAAGCAGTTTTCTAATCAAACCTATATTTGATTTTTATAATATGGTTGAATGCCATTCTGATGGTCACCTTGTTTATTTTCAGTGCCTGCATCTTTGAAATCAAGTGTCTACTTGTAGTCTATAGAAAACAGTGTGTAATCGAAGAAGACAACACTGTGTATTCAAACGAGAAAGGTAAGGTTTATTCAAGTACCTAGAATTTATAAAATTATGTTTGTGTTTGTTTCCTAGTTATATTTTATAACTGACTAATTCATCATTCTTTTTTGTGTCAGTTTACTATACCTGTGAGCGTTCTGTTGGATACAAGATGAGAAGTGATATACAGGGCGCTTAAATATAAGTGTTGACTTCTGAACTATGTCAACTGAATTTATCAATAAATGTTTATAAATTCAACAATGTATATCTACAGAGTTTCTCTAGTGTTTTAGTAGGAAATACCATGCAAAAGGTAACGTTTGATATAGGCAAGTTATATAAGCAAAACGTTGCCAGTGAGCCAAATTATTATTGAGGATTTTGTTATTGATAATCTGGAATATTGTTAGGAATACACTTCATTCGTTCAATTTTAAGTAGATAATTATAAATGTTGCTAAGATTGTCGATATCGGACTTTTTATTCATACTATATGATTCATTATTAATGTGAACCATTTCCAAGAAAGTGCGCTTTGAATAACTATTTTCATGTGCTAAAATTTTGACCTCGTTAAAGTTCATCCTATGGTTCGAATCAATGACATGTTCAGCTAGTGCAGAGCGTTTTCTATTACAGTTACCATCACTTTTGTGTGAAGAAATCCATCCTGATAAATTTCTCGAAGTTTGACCGATATAAGTCAAGTTACAATTAATTTTGTGAAAAGATATGTGGATGACTTAATATCATGTGTTCCTAAAGGTTGGATAGATGAAACTCTTGAATATTTCAACTCCTATGCTCAAAATCTGCAGTTTACTTGTGAGCCGGAAGTAAACCACTGCTTACCTTTCTTAGATATGACAGTCATCAGAGCTGATGATAATATCTTGCGTACCAAATGGTACAGAAAGCCGATGTGCAGTTATAGATACATGAGTTTCCACTCATATCACCCAATGAAAATGAAAATCAATCTAATTCAAGCTTTGAAGAACCAAATAACTAAGTTAACCCACCCAATATACAGACAAAATAGTCTTCATGAATTGAAAGTGATTTTGCTAGAGAATTCTTACCCTAGTAAACTTATTAATAAAATACTATTCAACTCTCAAGATACAATTGTTGAAATCAATAATGTTTCAGCTAGGGACCCAGTTCCTATAGTACTACCAAAATACAAAGCACTACCATACATAGCAGAATTGACTCCAAAATTGTCTAATGTCTTCAAACATGAAAATATCATCATTGCTAAAAAATCAAGTTTAAACAGTATCGATCCTTTTTTCTAAAACCAAAACGCCTATTGATAAACTAGAAATAAACAATGTAATATATAGAATCCCTTGCCTTAATTGTAACTTGACTTATATCGGTCAAACTTCGAGAAATTTATCAGGACGGATTTCTTCACACAAAAGTGATTGCAACTGTAATAGAAAACGCTGTGCACTAGCTGAACATGTCATTGATTCAAACCATAGGATGAACTTCAACGAGGTTAAAATTTTAGCACATGAAAATAGTTATTTGAAGCGCACTTTCTTGAAAATGGTTCACATCAATGATAAATCATATAGTTTGAATAAAAAGTCCGATATCGACAATCTTAGCAACATTTATAATTATCTACTTAAAATTGAACAAATGAACTGTATTCCTAACAATATTCCAGATTATCAATAACAAATCCTCAATAATAAGTTGGCTCACCACCCAATTATCAATTCAAATTTCCCACCATCCTTACCTTTTCGTAAT